ATTTCTAGGATCCAGTTTTTGGACTATTTCAATTGCTGCACATAATTTTGTGTAGTAGTCAATCTATTCATGATTGATAATGCATACCTTGATCATATATCTCTTTGCGAACAATGATTATGTAATAAAGCCATTGAAAACAGTATTATTGCAACCCGCCATTCTGCTGCGTTTAAACAAACTTGAAGTTCATATTTTCAATTTTCAGGTACGAGTGAAAGCTGCTCTTAATAGACAGTCCAAGACTCGTCTGATTGGCCCAAACTGCCCTGGTATCATCAAGCCTGGTGAATGTAAAATTGGAATCATGCCAGGTTACATTCATAAACCTGGTCGTGTAGGAATTGTTTCTCGTTCTGGCACCTTGACATATGAAGCGGTGAGCTCCCGTTTTGAGCTCTTGAAGACTACAGTGATGGTGATAAAACGCATGTGTGTGTGTATATATGTATATAACAATGAAATCTATCTCTTCAGGTTTTCCAAACAACTGCTGTTGGACTTGGACAATCCACTTGTGTGGGCATAGGTGGAGATCCTTTTAATGGAACAAACTTTGTTGATTGCGTGGAGCGATTCCTAGCAGATCCCCAGTCTGAAGGTACCTCATATCTTATTTCGTGTCTTTCATGTAAATCAGTTATGGTTTAGAATCCTTAAACTCTGTTGTAAAGTTAAACTCATTTCTCCTCTGTCCAAAGAAAAAAAAAAATAAAAAAGAGAAGAAAAGAATAAAGTAGGGTACCTTAATTGGATGTGTAACATTGTAAGATGCTCCTACCCTCCTATCTGTGTTGGTATTTTGGTGACTTATTTTTTGTGCTAGCCTGTCCTTTTTGGTGGAGTCAGAACCTTGGTGCTGTGTACAATTTATAATTCTTATCGAAGTACTTGTTTCCTAGAAACATCAAACAAGATAGACAAATTTTTTATGAACCTGGGATGAGGCTTGTTGTTGTTGTTGTAACATTACTGGTTCTTTGAGGTGATCGGCCAAAGGGTTGTTAAGTATTGGGTGAAAGTTTGACAGTGACGTCAAAAGTTGATAGAAAGATATGATGTCTGAAAGTTGAATATTGACCTCATGGGAGCTGGGAAAAGAGGAAGTAGGGAAGATCAATCTGATTTTATCTAGTAATGTAGGGCCTTATCCATCCTGCTGGATTTCTTTCAAAGTAGGGTGGTGTTAGAGGGTAGTTTTTTTTTTCAGAGTGGTTCTATGTTGTTTTGTGTTTTCATGAAGTAGGATTTCATGATTCATGATATGATCCTGTGCGGGTTATCATATTACTATAACTTGTTTGTATTTGTTTGCTTTCTTATTCATCATACTTGTATTCTTTGTTTATGTTTGTTGTTTCTTTGTGGAATTTAGGCATCATTCTCATAGGAGAGATAGGGGGAACTGCAGAAGAAGATGCTGCTGCACTAATTAAGGTCTGCTTTCTATTTTTTTGTTTGTGCATGGATTTCTGTTCTTTAAATTCTTATAAGCATCTGCAAAATTAAAATTTATCTCCCTGTTTTGTAGAAAGGAGCATAAGTCTATTATTCGTATTACTTAATGTGTGTGGAGAAAGGTTTTACTTCATATTTTGCTCGCCAGCAGAGGCTGCACTAAAACATTAGCTGGGTGCTACTTGTGTTGTCGCTATTATATTATAATTAGATTAACTCATACGCCACTGATTTTTCTTCTGTTTTAAAATCAATAAACTGTTTTTACTTCTTAATAACGTGCATCATGTATATTCCAATCCATAAACCTAGTCATTTTCTTTAATTCTCTTGTTCATGCATGGTTTCCTGTTTTTATATATCGGTTTGTTCATGTTAAACAATACTTGGACACAATTCCTCATTGTATCTCGAGATCTTCTGATACTCTTTACTGAGGTGAAGACTGAAGTGCGTTATATATGATCTAGCAAATGTTAAATAAGGGAAATCAGACTATTAGTTTTAGATATTTAAAACTATGGTTGGATGGCTAAAGCTATACACATTGGAAAAAATGGTGGACAAAATACATATATATTGCATCTGACTCACTTGGATGGTTATTCAAATGCACTTTCTAAAGATAACTTCAAATTCCTGCCTTTGGCTTGGGGCATTTTGAAATGCGTGCCTCCGTATCAGGTCTTTTTAAATGGTTAAAATTACTTAATCTATTCATACACTATAGCTTTTAATGCAATTTTATTTTTGTAAATGTTTATTGTAACTTAAATGATGTCGAGCTGCCTAAAGGAGGGTTGTAGTTGACAAACAGCCAACAAAAGATGAAATATATTGTGAATGTAGATCCCTCTTCTTTCTTGGTGTATAAAACGTCAAATGCTCATTTGGTGTTTTTCGACACTAGGCATGCTTGATACCTCACTTCTTCAGATTAAGCATTAGTGCTTATGTTCACATAGTTGCCATGTTCTCTGTCCATGGGTTCTGAAAATAACTTTGAAGATTTCGAATGAACTACAGGAAAGTGGGACTGAGAAGCCTATTGTTGCATTTATTGCTGGATTAACGGCTCCCCCTGGCCGTCGTATGGGCCATGCTGGAGGTAAGATCTTTTATCAAGTTTTGAATCTCATGGCATCAGATGATCAGATGAAAAATCTATTTTAGGTTGTTGATTGTCATGATAAAGTTGTGACTATGCTCCTTCAGCCAATTCATTTTCTTCCTTTTTGTTTGTCTATCTCAAATTGTTTTCTTGGCCCAAGTCGATACTAAAACAGGTGATGATCAAGTTTTTAGTGGGACATGTTCGACTAATAATTATTTATTATTAATTCTATGATATTGGTTGCATCAAGCTATAAAACATCAATATGCAAATGAAAATCATGACACAAAACAAAAATTTGAAGTCACGAAATGCCAGAGATTGAGTTATTCATCATAATTAAATTAGAGTATTGAATTATATCTATGAAAAATCGAACAAGTTTATGAAACAGTTGCCAAAGGCCAAAGATGCTCTCCCGTTGAAAAACTGTTCTTCTGTTCTTGAATGTAGTTCTGCAGTTATTTTTGTCAAATACTAATTAATGCTGAACACTTGTTCTCATCATTATTATTGTTATTGAATGAAATTGTGCTTTTTAGATTTATGCATGTGTATATATTCACACAGACACACACTGAGAGAGAGAGAGTAACACAAATATAAACAGAGAGAGAGAGAGAGAGAGAGAGAGTAACACAGAAATATAACTTTGTGTAGGATGCTCTTCTATCTTTACATCCAATCTTTTGTTTTCTCCTATCCGTTGTTAAATACATTGTATGTGCTGCTTTTGTAAATGTAATCCATTCGAATTGGTTGCTGAGTAGTAAATTATTTGTGGGCCGCTGACATTGACATTATTTAAAAAGAAAGAAAACCAGCACTCCCTCTGGTCTTAAATATAGGTCACTTCTAGCGATCTCACGGAAACTAAATAAAATAGTTATATCTTTAAAATGCTCTGAAAATGAAAAATATTTTTTAGTTTTTCCCTATTCAAAATCATGAATTTGAAAAAGGAGAGTCTAGAAAGTTGGAAATAGGGGTAATTTTGGAAAAAGTTAATTGATGCCCTCCATTTTTATGTAAAGTGACCGACCAATATATAAGACCATTAATTTTTTCAAGATGATGACCAATATATAGGACTGGAGGGAGCAATTTTCAAAATTGAGTTAATTAGTGCACTGTGATTATACTAATCGGACCCTCTCAATTTTGTTTGGTTTTGCTGGTGCAGCCATTGTGTCAGGTGGCAAAGGTACTGCTCAGGACAAAATCAAGACTCTGAGAGAAGCTGGGGTCACCGTAGTGGAGTCGCCTGCTAAAATTGGAGCTGCCATTCTTGATGTTTTCAAGCAGAGGGGCTTGGTTCAATAGTTTGAGAAATTTGACACCAGTCAACCTTATAACAAGTTCAAAGCTTCCTAGTTGGCTTTCTGTGTCAAAAAGCTGAGAACGTTTGATTTCCATTGATATATCATTGGATCACTCTTCCACATTTTTATCCGGAGACGAATTCATTGAAGTGAAATAAAAGTAATTCAAGATTCTTATTGTATTTCTTTTGTGACCTTTGAAAACGGTGAGCAGATGATTGTTTCACTGATTCACTTTGCTGTGAATTTCAGACTTTCAAATTGGTTTTTTGCTGCAAAGATGGGTCATTCAGTAGTATAATTTGGAGCCTCTGTTTAGGCATGACAACAATAATAATTCCAAAAAAAAAAACTTAGTGAATTCTTCAATCATATTTTTTTAATGTGTCCTTTTTTCATATAATCATTTAATCCTAAATTCACATGAAAAGATAAGATATATAATTGTGTAATTAGAGAAGTTGACATATTAAATGTAATGAATTTGATTTAAGTATTGTCCTAATTCAAATTATGAATTTTAAAAAATCCATCATTTTATATTGATTATTGGTGTACAAAGTTGTCTTATCATCAAACACTTAGATCGACTTGTTGGGGTTTTTTTAGCTTAATCAAGGTCAGGAATTCGATCCGAAAGAAATTTGAAAAAAGCTTGTTTCAGCTTAATTTGTTATACATACCAGTTAAATTAGATTAGTCTAGTTTCTTAGCTCCCAAAACGATAAACAATAATATTATACACAGACAAAATTTTACTTATATGTGTAAAATGTGTATACATTGTTATTTAAGACAATAAACTCAATTTTTTAAGAAAAAAATCATTATAAAATTACATATAAGGACTCCTTTACAAAAATTGTTGTCAGAACATATACTAATGTTGTACCAGATCCCTATTTATAATTTTTTAATTTTGATGGGTTTTTTTTGTGATTTTCTCATTTTTAACTTCTAAACATTTGCAGTTTTATTTACAGAAATTGATCGCACAATGTTAATAATATCCGCAAACAAACTTAGCTACAAAAGAATTGACTTTACAGCAATTGGCTAACGAGTCGTCTTGGATCATCGTTAATCGGCTCTCCCATTTAGCCAGCCAAAAACTTGACTTTAATCTAATCCCAGTTAGTTCTAGGGTTTTGCGCCACTGGTCTACGTCCACAACCCATCTCACTGTTGACTCACCATTTTCCCGAGAAAATTTGCATGGAAAATCCTGGATGGTAATCCCACATCTCCAATTAACATAGATCCCTACTTGATTTCTTATTCCAATTATGGCCGGGAAATCTGAACCCTTAAACGGGACTGTGAAATCTGGATCGAACCAGAGCAGTCCAGCAGCAATGCAGGCGTCGGCACTCAAGGCCGATCTGTCGAATATCTTTTCTTTGAAGAGCTTTAAGCTGAAAACCAAGCAGCAGGAGCTGCTGATCCGGGTTTCCATCCTAATGCTCGTCTATGTCTTGGCTTTCATCACTCGGCTGTTCAGTGTTCTGCGGTACGAGTCCATGATCCATGAGTTTGATCCTTACTTTAATTACCGGACCACAGTTTTCTTGACTGAGAAGGGTTTCTATGAGTTCTGGAACTGGTTTGATTCTGAGAGTTGGTATCCTCTGGGTCGTATCATTGGAGGCACTCTTTACCCGGGTCTCATGGTCACTGCTGCTTTAATTTACTGGGTTTTGCGATTTCTGAGGTTTGCGGTTCACATCCGCGAGGTCTGTGTGTTAACAGCACCGTTTTTCGCATCGAACACTACCTTGGTTGCTTATTTCTTTGGTAAAGAGATTTGGGATTCGGGTGCTGGTCTTGTTGCTGCGGCATTGATTGCTATTTGTCCTGGGTACATTTCTAGATCGGTGGCTGGATCATATGATAATGAGGGTGTTGCCATTTTCGCCTTGTTGTTAACATTTTACTTGTTCGTGAAGGCGGTGAATACAGGGTCGCTTGCGTGGTCTTTAGCTTCCGCTTTTGGATACTTCTACATGGTTTCTGCTTGGGGTGGTTACGTGTTTATCATTAATCTAATCCCACTATATGTGCTGGTTCTTTTGATCACGGGAAGGTATTCAATGAGACTGTATGTTGCTTATAACTGCATGTATATTTTGGGAATGTTGCTTGCAATGCAAATTCGATTTGTTGGATTTCAGCACGTGCAATCTGGAGAACATATGGCTGCTATGGGCGTCTTTTTCTTGATTCAGGTTTCCTTTTTGTTCCTTTTTGTTTTTTCATTGCCTTGTTGAATAACTCGTGGCATGGTAGAGAATTTCTTTAATGTGTTTAGCATCTAGAATGTTAAAATATATTAGCAAACGGTACTTCTAGGGAATCTATAGCTTTAGTTAGTTGGGTAAGATTCAATAATGTGATTTATTTTTGGGTGCCTTTGCCTTCCTGTGTTCTCTTCTCATCTGAGTCATTTGACTTAACATGAATTCACTAAGATTCATTGGCTTTGCATTTGATGCGTACCCTTTCCCTTTTTTTTTGAGTTTATATTGGCATACTAATGAAAAAGGTTTCTATTTAGCACCATACATTTTCAAGGTTTTTTTTAATGTAGATATTGGCATTAATAAATGTCTAGACATTGTCAATATTTATGCAATTGCTTTAGGATGCGGAATTTCAAGCCCTAACATGTATTGTCTTTGCAGGTATTTTACTTCCTGGATTGGGTAAGGCATTCTCTTGCCGATGCTAAATTGTTTCAGGCATTTTTGAGGATCACAGTAACTACTGCAGTTAGTGTTGGTGTCATTGCTTTGGGAGTGGGCACAGCATCTGGTTATATTTCTCCATGGACAGGCAGGTTCTACTCCTTGCTAGATCCAACCTACGCTAAGGATCATATTCCAATCATTGCATCAGTCTCTGAGCATCAGCCAACTGCTTGGTCATCTTTTATGTTTGATTACCACGTCCTCCTCTTTTTCTTTCCTGCTGGGCTCTACTTTTGCTTCAAGCGGCTGTCGGATGCAACAATTTTCATAGTTATGTATGGTCTTACAAGCATGTATTTTGCTGGTGTGATGGTTCGATTGATTCTTGTTGCTACACCTGCAGTATGCCTCATTAGTGCTATTGCAGTTTCTGCCACTGTGAAGAATTTGGCTCAGCTTGTAAGGGCCAAAAGCAAAGCTGTTCAGAGTGGTTCTAGCAAAGGAACTAGTACTGTAAAAGGTTCTTCCAAGGTAAGATACTTCTGAGAAACTGGTAGAATGAAGGGTTTCAAAACAAATTGCATTTCAATGCTTTGATCTATTTCTTTTCCCCCCCATCTACTAACCTAAGTTTGCCTATGGTTGAAATGCATTTTATTTTGATGAGAACAGACTAGCAGTTCTTGGTAATGCTTTCTTGGGGTGTCAGATTAATGTTAATGCTGTTTGTTAATGTTTCTTATCATCACTTTCTCCCAACCCATTGGTGCTTGCTCCTTTCTCATAATTATGACAGATTTACAGGCTGGAAAAGGGATTTTATTGGGCTGTGGAGTTAATTGTTGCACCGGATAGATGCAATCATTTTGTGCAAAATTATATTCTTTTTATCCCCACCCCCCTTTTTTTGTCCTTGAAGTATAATCTAGCTGCACTTTTCTCTTGTTTTGATATCATTGAACATTACACGTGCACAACTTGCATGATAGCGGTCACTGATATAATGGTGTTTCTGTATCTTAAACTGTACTGATGGTCAGAAAGTATCTCAACCTGTGCTAAAAACAGCTTTTATTTTTTTGGGTGAAATTTTCTTTAAATTGATGTGATGATGTGACAAATTATTGCAATTTCTTAAAAACAGGGTTTGGTTGATCACTCCCAGCCTTTCCAAAGAAATGGCGCCATTGTGTTACTTCTTGGTGCCTTCTATCTGCTCAGCAGATATGCCACTCACTGTACCTGGGTCACATCAGAGGCTTACTCATCTCCCTCAATTGTCTTGGCTGCAAGGGGGGCCCATGGTAACAGGGTCATATTTGATGATTATCGTGAAGCATACTTCTGGCTTCGTCAGAATACTCCTCCAGATGCTAAGGTGATGTCATGGTGGGATTATGGTTACCAAATCACTGCCATGGGAAATAGAACGGTCATTGTTGACAACAACACCTGGAACAACACACATATAGCAACTGTTGGGCGTGCGATGTCTTCTTACGAGGACGAGGCTTATGAGATAATGCGATCACTTGATGTGGGTTATGTTTTAGTTGTCTTTGGTGGTGTTACTGGTTATTCTTCTGATGATATAAATAAGTAAGACCTTCTGAGACAATGTTTTATATTTGGAATTTTCATCCATTTTATATACTTTGCTTCATGCATGTCGATCTAGCAATTTCTTTTGTGAAAAATTCTATTTAGACTTCTCTTACAGTCACAACTGTTGACATGATACTGTTGGCACCATTTGTGTTTGGCATAGAATGTAAGTTGTGCAACCTGATCTCAGATGGAGCCACTTGTATCCAGATGTGAATGCAAGAGTTATTTAAGTAGCGTGACCCCTTACCTATTCCTGTTGTCATCATTCCAACTTCAGGAATTTATGTGACTTCTCAGAATGCCTTGTTCTCTTGTCATGCTTTTTAGTCTCTTTACAAACTTATGACTGCTGGGTTTCAAACTTTTTATATTCTAAAATTTTTGCAGACCTTCCATCATTAAGCTTGTTCATATTCAGTTAGTTATGTTTTAAAATTACAAACACCTGTGTATATATCTTTGCACTTTGTGTGGCTTTTATAATACTTGGTTCTTCAGGTGGTTGTTTCTTTAGAGCATGCACAATTGTATGTGGATTGTCCAATCACTGACTTGTGCTGAGATTGGATAATGCATTTTTAACATGTCAATTGCTTTTCTTCATCTATTAAGATTATCTAGTTATGCTTTATTACTTTTGTTGTTTTCCTTTTTTGGTGAATTACTTCCGTTCTTGATATCAACATCTCCTGTTTACAATTGAGTTCGTTTTCTGGTTGATTTCATTTGGGTTCATATTGTTTTTCTTTCCAGTTATATTGCTTCTGGCACTTATATTATACTCGTAATTCATGATTTGTGTAGATTTCTGTGGATGGTGAGGATTGGTGGTGGTGTTTTCCCTGTAATAAAGGAACCTGATTACCTGGTCAATGGAGAGTATCGTGTAGATAAAGGGGCTGCTCCCAAGATGTTGAACTGTCTAATGTAAGTTTCTTGGCACTGCCACATGGTCTTGCCTCGATGTATTTATAAATTCTGGATGCACGCAAGTCTACTCTCCGTTGGAATTAACTTTTATTGAAAAAAAATCATATATAACCAAGTTGGTCTATCTTTGTCAGGTACAAGCTGTGTTATTATCGCTTTGGGGAGCTGACAACAGAATATGGCAGACCACCTGGGTAAATGCTATACCTTTGTTATCACCGTTGCTATTTTAATATCTGACTCCACAAATTTTGGGCCCTAACTAATGAGGCACCCCATAATCACGTGTAAATGAGGGATAATGGACTACGCAGTTTCTGATGGGGATAAATGATGCAGGACAATCCATTGCGTGTAGTTGGGAGGGTGTTTGGGTAGAAACAAAACTATAGTTTTAAAAGTATTTTTTATGGTATACGAAATAAATATGTGAAGAAGTTTGTCTCGATTTGTAGAAAAGTACTTCTGAGGTTACCCAAACACCACCTAAGTACTGTTGATTATGCTAGTAATATCCAAACTTCAGCCTTATATTAAACTATCTGAAAGTTCATAACTTTGTGCATCCTGAAACAATGTAATGTAATCCCTAGCCGCAAAGTGTTCTTCATAGACCTTTTCAACTCAAACATTCTTCATGGCGTGCTCTCTGTTATGTAAATCCTGTTTTATATTTATGCTTCTTGGATTGGCAGGTATGATCGTGCAAGAGGAGTTGAAATTGGAAACAAAGACATAAAGCTGGAGTATTTGGAAGAGGCATTCACTACACAGAACTGGATAGTTCGTATTTATAAAGTAAAACCACCTAAAAACAGGTGGTAAGTCTTGCCTACGATTCCTCTCCCAAAGGGGGGGCAAAAAAAGGATGGAAAAAGTCAAATGTACTTTTCTCTGCGGGAACTTGTAGCATTTTAGTAAGCATGAGAGCCCAAATACTGCTGGCTATTTATATGTCATAGACCTTTTTTTTTTTTTCCCTTTCATCTGCATTTGTAGAATTCAGTTCAGGTAATGTAGTGGAATCCTAACTTCACTTTTTCATGCATATGTTGAATTCAGTTCTTCTAATTCTGTGGAGTCATTTCTATGTTGCTCAATTTAACCTATTTGATTCCAGAAGGGCAATCTCACGTAAGGAAATTCAATGTATGTTGAATGAATTGAGTGGCTAAAACCGGTTTCATTACTTCAACGTGGAGATAAGCATCTTACACAGCCAAATTGTTTCCGCTGGAATCAAACTAGAATGACGTTACGTCATTTGATGGCCTTTTTTGCTTTCTTCTTCTTTTTCTTTTTTTTGGGTGTTCATAAGTGGAGGATAAAATGATGTTAGATATTTCATTTTTTGGAAGTACTTCTAGCATATTGAAAAATAGTATCATCAATGACCTAAAGCCGTATTGCAACTTTGCGTCAATGGATCAAGATCTTCAAGTTCGGATCAAAATCTGGTCTGAGCCTCACTGCGCATGTTTGAAATCCTAATACACTATTCCTCATCCTTAATCAAGACTTAAAACAATTAAGTAGATTAAAAAAGTTAAATTAGTTAATGATGTTTTTTTTCCTAAAATACCTTCAACATCTTACTTAATTTTCTTATTCTTCTAATGTATTATTATTAGAAGAATATTAATAGGGTTAATTTGAAAAAAAAATAATAAACATGTAAAATAATTTTTACATATATAACCAATTAAACTCCACAGTTACATCCTCAAGGACATAAGGAGTACTAATCTGAAACGAATGAAACCAGAGAAGCAGAAATACCATTTTAAACTTCGGCATTTGAAGATAGTAAATAATGTACTAGATAAAGCTAACATTTTTCACACTTGATCAACCTACTTTTATTTTTTATTAAAAATACCCCACTAGATCTCATTCAAACCTGAATTCATTGTTCACAAATAACCATGATCAATGCCGGTGGAATAATTAGTCGGATTCACCAAATAGGCCGCGCGCACGCACCCCCACACTCACACAAATATCAAAATGTTACAGCTCAATTATCATAATGTGCAATGCTTACATAAAAGGTCTCCTAAAGAAAAATAAAAATAAAAACCTTAATACATACAGAACAATTCAACAAGAATGCCGCGATAAGAGAAGTATGACCTGGAGAATACGAAACTCTTCAACCCGTAAATGAACTCTTAACCCAAGGTGAAGCTACCATTATGCTATTTTACACTTGATACAAAACAGTAAAGAGTCCTTCATTTGCCAAGTTTTCCCAGCAGCAGCCTCGGCAGCATCACTTTATGGGAGGTCATTGGCACCTTGTTCTTCCGCGCCTGAAATAAATATCCTAACTGTGTGTTTTTCTCTTTCCTTTATGCTCAGGCTTGGTAGCCCAGAACATTTAATCTGTTAGCTATTAACGTTTGTGGTGTCAAAAAATAGATTGCATACAAGGATGGAAATGAGTTGTCCTAGTCACGGGCAGCTTTGTTCCTGCGCCCGGATATTGGGATAGGCAAGCCATTGAAAATGGGACTAGCAATGGCTGCACTTGAGAGAGCTTGCAAGTCTGGTTTCAAAGTCCATCTTCCAGTTGGCCAGACTGTGCCTGAGTTACTCTTTTCCTGATCTTTGAGGCTTGATGCACTTAATGATTTACGCACTCCAGAAAGCACATCAGTTATTATAGACTCCCCAAGACCCATTGGAATAGAATCCAACCATCCCGACTCAGTCTCAGGAAACAACACTGCCCGACTGGCTGATTTCGGCCTCGTGGCCAAACTCTTTCCTGCGGAAGAAAAGGCACTGCTTCCACCACTAGTTTCTTGTTTTAAAAGCCTGTCAGGAGTATCAGCACCATTATCAACTTCAGCCTTCTGACGTCTACGGACAGATTTCTCATCAGATTTATCACCTCCCCCATCCTCAATCTCTGCATAATACTGAGTCGCTCTTCCATCCCCATTCAGTAAATCATATTCAAAATTTCTTGACCTGTGATTTTGGTTTGATGGCATCTCTGAAATTGGTGAGGCTTTGGGGAGCCAGTCATCTCTAAGCTCATCTCCACTAGCAGATCTATAAACTGCCAATTCCGTTTCTTCATTTCGACCCTTTGGATTTGAAGATTCAAGTCCATAGTATGCCTGTAGAGAAGCCATAGCTGAAGCAGTCCTCTGTCGGGGTGCTTTCAGCCTTAAGGACTGGAAAGGTTCCTGTGTGCTAGATTGACCTGAATGAGGACGTCTCTTTTCAGGACTGTAACGTCTGCAATAAAATTTCAGCAAAATTTTCACAAAAAGAGAAAAACAAAATCAGTAAAATGAATTTCCAAGGTTCAGAATAGATTTCAGTACAGTGAGTTGATAATTGATTTTATGCTATCTTAAACTAAAAAGGACATAGCTATCTGATGAACCATTCCATTACCATAAGCAAAATTCAAGAAGAAAATGAATTTTTCCTCGTCCTAGAATATGGAAAGCAAATAGCAAATCGTAAATAAAATTTGTAGAAGCGTATCAAATTACACCTAGAGCAATGTAATATTGTTCAGGATGCCGGTAGGCAAAGAACAAACTTGTGGAAAGCCATAGTAAAATTCTTTTATAGTTCCTGAGATCAGTACACCACCACAGAAAACATGATGGCCCACCATTTTTTCTACCCTACATTAAGCATTTTAGCACCCAGTGTTGATATTGATTACAATCCAAAATACAAAGAAAATCTGGCTGGTGAAATGCCAACACGATCCCTGAACTGTAAAAATACAAATTAATTTTTAAACTTCTTTGTAAAAGTTAAATAAAAAGTGAGAAAGATGAATTTGCCTCACAAGTTCTCAAAGGAGTAGATTACGATGAATGGATACTAAACTAGAGCTAAATTGAAAAATAAGGATAGAATGATTTCTTACAAAACCAATAACCATAGTGGGCACTGCCAAAAATTTGGCAACAAAAGATTTTCCACTGCACATCAAAGGAAAAAATGTACGAAATTCAAAGTATATTTGTACCCGGAATTGGCAGATCCATTGGGCGGACTATGAGAGGGTGGGTGCCTTCCTGGTAATGGTATTCGCAGAGTCTTCAGTGCAAACATTTGAAGATCCGTGGCTAGTCCATTCATCCTTTTGACATCAGCCACCTAAATCATTACAAAGAGTTGCCATCAAAAGGAAGATAAATCATTACCTGATTATCAACCTAGAAAGCAACTACACATCTCACTCATTAGATACATCAAATATATTAGGACCGTCTTACCGTTAAAATAATCACGGTAAATCTGATAATAGAGGGAAAAGCAAAGCACCTCACGTACCAATAACATCATCAACATTTATAACTCTAAGAAAAATGCGTGCGCGCATATTCTCCCCAATCAGTGACATTAAGTAATCAAATACACTAGATAATGCATATGTCCATTTAAAAATATATGACCAGTCTAACCCAAACAACACAAGGTGAGTATTCTGAATATTAGTAAAAATAAGATGTTGACATCAGTGAAAGTGTGCAAGTGATTTTCAGACTTCCCACATTAATGTATGAACAGTTCCATCCTATATCTTATCTGAAAGGGAAGCATCACCTATACTTCTGAACTAATGAAGCATAGAAGACTATTTGACAGCTAAAAAGAAGAAAAAAAAAAAATCGCCAGACAGCATATATTCAAGATGAATGGGACTCTGTTCCTCCCATCGTGAAAGCCAGATATAAAAGAGAGGAGGATCAATCTTCATCCCCATTTCCGTTTTCTCCCTCCCACACAACTGATTACAAGTGAAAACCCTTCTTTCCTATTTTCATTTTCCCTTCCACAACCGGTTGCATCCATTACCAAGTATGTCATAGAAGTGGACAACAGCACATCGGGACAAATTATCAGTTGAGTTCTTTTAAAAATTCAAGACCCATGTCGACCTTTTGCTGTCTTTCTCTATCAGCATCATCAAGTACTGGGAGAAAGTGGCGGAATCAGATTGGTTCATCCATCCCAGCTCATTACAAAGGAAACAAACCGCATAACTTCAATTGTTCCACATAATTAGATTAAAAAACAAAGATGTCATTTTTGAATAGTGATATGATATAATAAACACAGAATAATTCTCCTCGCTTTCAGTAAGGCTTTGAACAAATCATTTCACTAATTGCAACCGGTAAAGATTAAAATTCACAAACAACCTCTTCGTGTCAAAGAACAAAGAAAATTAGCTACAAGGGCCTTCAAAAATCGCCAGGAGAATACCGAAAAAGAATACGTAAGACGATTTTGTACCTCGACGCCGTACTTGATGGCCACGCCTGCCAGAGTGTCCAATTTGGAAACCGGGTGCTCAATCCAATTGCGTCCATTACCTCCACAACCACTTCCATTCTGTAAATAATTAGACGGAGACATGTTCGCCAATCGACGACCACCTAAGCCTTCTTTCGCAGAATCCCAATCGCCACTGCCTCTACCGCAGACACCGACACCGAGATCTGCGAGGAGAAACCGGGAATCTCACATGCACAGTCGTGTAAAGGAACCGGTGAGGGAAAGCGAAACGAATTGGCCACAACGCCAGAGAGGGAAAACTTTTCGAATACAGAAATTAGGGCAAAGAAAGATTTGGCTTTCGATATAGAAAACTAGAGTAAAAAGACGAGAGAATGAATCAATGAATGAATACTGTGATATTTTGATGAAGGAGAAGAGAGGCCTTCTTCTATAAAACTTCAACAAGAATTTGACTTTATTCTTATTGTGCCCCCATTCCCTTCAATTATATGCATTGCGTTGGATTCTTCTTGCTCCTGCGCGTTTTCCCTGTGAAGAAACATGTAGCCATAAATTTTATAATATTTGTAATTTGTAAATTTAAAAAAAAAAGCATTGAACGATAAAATTAAGTAAAATTCTATAGATTCAATGTTAATTTATAAATCTGGTAAAAAAAATGTTAATTTATGAATAAATATAAAATATCATTAAATTTTGTAAACAAATATATCATCTTTATAATAATTTAACTACAGGCAGCATTATGATTTATTAAATTAACATGTTGATCATTCAAATACTAATATTATATGAGTTATTTTTCC